AATGTTCTTTTCCCAGACACGCTCACCGACTCAGATTCCTGCTGCATCTCCCAACCTTAGAGACTCTGCTTTCAGACTAAACTAGAAGATACTCACAGACTCCTCCCCGCCTCCAGGACTGGGAACTAGGTGTAAAGTAGCTGGCAAAGCATGTGTGGGAGGGAGGAAGCCAAACCTTGAGATATAGGTTAGTGATTCTGTGACCTCACCTCCCCAAAGAATTTCAATCTTCATGTCAGCTGTAGTGACAATGATAGTTAAACACTTGGGGAATGAGAAGTTCTGAAAAATTTTAATTCCCAAGATCTATTTGAAGTTTCTAGTGAGTATATCCAAAGGGACCATTGGAGTGTTTGAGAGAGACTTCAATTTTCCATTGTTCCTGGAAGAAGACAGGGTCTCACATGGAAGGAGGAAATGCTGAGGTCTGAGCCATGAAAGACCAGCTTTATTGGATTCTGTGTTCTCCTGAGAATTTCTTCTACCCTAATCTAATTTTTTGTTAATACTCAGACCTAAGTCCCACCACCATTTAATTTATGGGCACAGAGAAAGAATCCTACAAATGACCCAAGCATTTCCTATTTAAAAAAATTTTAATACCTGCAATCCATTTTAAATTTTCAATAAATTCAAATAAAGGACATGATCTCAGTAAGTGAGATTAAAGATTATTTGTCCCACTTCCCCAACTCAAAACAAATTAACTAGAAAGCCTGTATAACGTGGACATTTTCTAGGAAAATACATTTTACCAAAATTGACTTAAGAAAGGGCATCTAAACATACCAAATCCATAGAGAAAAGGAAGACATTTATCAGAGGCCATCATAAATAAAAGCACATGGATCAGATTAGCAGCCAGATTCTTCCATTCTTTTAAATAGCAGATAAACTAATGCTACTTACTCAATTCAAGATCATTAAAGAGGAAGTAAAATTTCCAAGTTATCTTTAGAAGTCATATAAAATTCTTTTCTTTTTTTAAATATTTTATTTATTTCTAGGAGAGAGAGAGAGAGACAGCGTGAGCAGGGGAGGGTCAGAGAGAGAGGGAGTCACAGACTGAAACAGGCTCCAGGCTCTGAGCTGGCAGTCAGCACAGAGCCCGACGCGGGGCTTGAACCCACGAACCGCGAGATCATGACCTAAGCGAAAGTCGGACGCTTAACCGACTAAGCCACCCAGGAGCCCCATAGAAGTCATATAAAATTCTGATACTTAAACATCCTAAAGTCTATACCAAAAAGAATACCACAAAAAGATGTCACCTCTTCCTACTGATGGTACTACGTAGAATAAATATAGCCAAAACCCCTGAAAAATATATAAAAATATGATGAGCAAAGAAATTTGTGTCTTGAATTCAAGAATGATTCACCTTTGGGAAGTTCATTAATATACTTTATCATATTATGAACAGAAATCAAGCAATCTTATTCATAGTTACAAAAACATTATTTGGAAGAATTCATCAGGTAAGCCTGTTAAAACCCTCGAAATTAGGAATTTCTTTCGGATCTTTCCCAACTTGACAAAGTTTGCATCTTTCTGATAGGGAAGAGCTAGAGATATTCCACTAAGGCCAGAAACCACACTAAAAATGACATGATCACCTGTTCTATTAATTTGTCATTGAGTTGCAGGTTTAGCCAGGGCATTTAACATGGCATAGGAATTAGAAAGACAGAAAACTGTGTTTGCAGATGATACAAGTATACCTCTGGAAACACAAAGGAACTCACAGAAAAATCCACTTTGAAAAATAATTCAGTAAGACAATAGGTTATGGTATTGATATACAAAAACAATAGCCTTTTTGTCTATAGGGTAATATTTTTAAGATTTTATTTTTAAGTCATCTCTATACCCAAGATGGGGTTTAGGTCATAATCCTGAGATCAAAAATGGCAGGCTCCACCAACTGAGTCACCCAGGTGCCCCCATACATAAGATATGTTTATACAATAGCTTATGTACAACATAAGAGTCATTTATGAGTTTCAGTAGGAGGATCTGCAATTACAAAAGTATAACATAAAATGAAATAGGGGCACATAGGGGGCTTAGTCGGTTAATGTCCCAATCTTGATTTCAGCTCATATTGTGATCTCATGGTCATATGATCAAGCCTTGTGTCTTGTTCCATGCTGAGCATGGAGCCTGCTTGGGATTCTCTGTCTCTGTCTCTCTCTGTCTCTCAAATAAACAAACAGAAACAAACAGATAAATAGCTTTAAAAAAGTAAAATGAGGGGTGCCTGGGTGGCTTAGTTGGTTAAGCGTCCGACTTTCGCTTAGGTCATGATCTCGCGGTTCGTGGGTTCAAGCCCCGCGTCGGGCTCTGTGCTGACTGCCAGCTCAGAGCCTGGAGCCTGTTTCAGTCTGTGACTCCCTCTCTCTCTGACCCTCCCCTGCTCACACTGTCTCTCTCTCTGTCTCTCTCCTAGAAAAAAAAAAAAAAAAAAAAAAGTAAAATGAAATAAACTAACCAGGAATGAATCTAACAAAAATATGTAAAGCCTATATGGGGGAAAAAAAACACATTCTTGAAATACATGAAAGAAATAAATGAATGTAAATTTACATCATGTTCTTGGGTAAAAAAACCCCAATTTTATAAAAGGGTTAATTCTAGGTTAGCTAATCTATAAATTTAATTTGATCCTGATACATGATGAGTTAGTTATTTCAAACTAGCAATGTTACTGCAAGAATGTTACAGAAAACTGAACAATAAGAATAGCCACAAAAAAAAAAAAAACCAAAAGAAGAAAAAAAAAAGCCCAAAATAAGTATAGTTATCCTCATGAAATGTTATTTATAAACAGATTATTAGATCAGTGAAGTTAGAACTGGGTGGCTCAGTCAGTTAAGCGTCCGACTTCAGCTCAGGTCATGATCTCATGATCCCGGAGTTCGAGCCACAAGTCGGGCTCTGTGCTGACAGCTCAGAGCCTGGAGCCTGCCTCGGATTCTGTGTCTGCCTCTCTCTCTGCCCCTCCATCATCCCATTTTGTCTCTCTCTCTCAAAAGAAAATAAACATTGGGAAAATACTGAAAATGGTTAAATTCCTTCCTAAGTCCTGCTTCTCAAGCACCTGACTACCCAAACTCGGATTCATCCTCTTTAATGAAGTCGCTCAGCAACATTATTTGGGTTGAAACATCCTCATTGACTTTTTTTTTTAATGTTTTATTTATTTCTGAGAGAGAGACAGACAGACAGCTTGAGCAGGGGAGGGTCAGAGAGGGAGATACAGAATCTGAAACAAGCTCCAGGCTCTGAGCTGGCTGTTAGCACAGACGTAGGGCTCAAACCCACAAACTGTGAGATCATGACCTGAGCCAAAGTCAGACACTTAACCGACTAAGCCACCCAGGCGCCCCCATCCTCATTGATTTTTGTTGCAACTTGTTTTTGTAAGCTCAGAGTGACCAGTGGTGTATCCATTGGCACCACCTGATTCTTGAGTGTCTTGCAGGACATCACGATTGGCCACAGGAACTCCAAGATGATAGAACTTAAAAGCTCTCCAGGCCTAACAAACAGCTGCTTGATTGTAACTTGCTGGTAAATACCACTTTCTCTCTTCTTGTGACTGAACAGTGAAAACATCACATAGAAATATGACTGGGGATGCTGAATAACAAGATCACACAATCATCACTTACCGTACTTTTAACCTTCCCTCCTGTCAGGCATTTGGGATTCATGATCTGGGCCAGCATCTCCCTAGTTTTCAAGCTCTTAAGATACAAGCAGTGGGTTCAGCTCATTCACAGGAACAACATCTCCAGAATTTCCCCGGAGGGAAGGGCTATCCAAGGCATCCTTGTCTTGGTAAGCACCTTTGTGTCGTTTTAACCTCTCTTTTCCACCTTTTCATATCACTTTGTTCTTTCTGAAAATCCCAGTTGGTGGGTGCTGACTCCGTGTGCCCTAATCGTTCCATGGTTTGTTTTAACAATCAGCCCTTTTGTTCTCTGGAGCCCTGACCTTATTGTGTCCAGGGTCATCTCTGTATGCTGCAGAAGGAATACACAACTCCCTAAAATGACAAGATACCTATAAACTATTGTAAACTGTTAAACAATGTGTAGTCGCTTTTTAATTGACTCCTTGCAGAGATTTAAGCATTGGAAGGGGCAGTCACATAATAGAGACGGTGTGAAAAGCTAATCCAGCCTACACCACTTTCAGAATTCCCACAGGAACAAAGGAGGAGCTATTAACTTGCATATTTCCCATTAAAAATTCTTAAGAGTTTATAAGATGCTGCTGAAAATGAGAAAAATTAGTTTTACCATTTGCTTGTATTATTCACATGAAGAACAGACATCCTTATGATATGTTCTGGAAATATTTCAAAACCAGTATTTTATCAGTACTAGGAAAAGTACTCTGAAAAAGTACACCTTTTAGAAGCTCTGTTATCTGCGCTTGACACTAAGCATTTAGAAACAGAAGACAAAAAGATCAGTTATTATTATTTTTTTTTTCTGGGCACCTGGGTGACTCAATTGGCTGAGCCTGGGGCTCTTGATTTTGCCTCAGGTCAGGATCTCAGGGTCTCAGTCTACCCACGAGGACCCCCGACCCAAGGTCCCCGCACTGCTCCGCCTCCCCACCTGGAGCGCATCTCCACCTCTCGCTAAAAATGTTCCCCCAAACACACCAAAAAGCTAAAAACAAAACGCTTCTCCGGGTACTGTACTCAACTTGTGAAACACCGCGGCTCCCAAGAGACGCGGCCCACCCTTCCCTAACGTTGCACCCAGCCTGGCTCCAAACCACACCGGCGGGACTGGAAGGAATCCAAAAGTAGAACCCGAAAGCGCGGGGCAGGAAGGATGAGCGGAGCGGCAGAGGACAGGCGGACAACGCTGCCCTGGGCCTAAGGCAGGCCGCCCAGACCCCGCCCCCACCCGTGCGTCCGGGACCCCCTTCGGCACCGCCCCGCGACGCACGCGCGTGCGCCATTTTCTGCACACCCGGAAGCGGATGCCCCAGAGCAACGTGTGCACTCACTCGGGTGAGCGAGTCTCCGTTTTTTGATTCGCACCGGCGGTTGCGCTCCTCAGAGCCCGCCTCCACCGCAGGTTCGGGGGCGCCTGGGAAGGTAAAGTCCTCGAACGGTCTCCTCGCTTTCATCGCTCGCGGCGTGGCCGTAATGTGTTCCGAGTCCTTCCGTTCGGGGCGGGTCCCGGGGGTCTGTGGTAGTTTTTGGTTAAAATCGCTCCGAGGCAGGTTCGGGCCAAGCCTTTCTGCCTCTGGCCCTTGCAGACCCCGGTCGTCTTGCCGGTCACTTTCCTGCCCGGGACCTTCCTCTGACTCCCGAGTGTCCCCCGGCCCCCACCCCATACTGCGTCGGGCACAGGGGTCACTCGGAAGGTGGATGCAGGCCTTTCGCCTCGCCGGGGGAAGGCAGGGTGGGGACACAGATGTCGGGAAGACGCCGAGATCTGCGGAGTTGGAGGGTCGTCAGAAAATTTGAGGAGAAAGAACGGCGGGGATTGAAACAGGCTGCGACAGAGTGGGGTCCGACTGCTGGAGGGGTAGTGAGGGAGGGACTCAGAAATGGAGAAAAGCTTGAATGGAGACCAGGACACAGAGAGACCGACACGGAGAAGAAAGCACGCAGTGGTCTCAGACGCCGCACAGGACCCAAACGCCAGTGAGGACTCAGGATAGTAAGTTGTGAAGTACTGATTTGTGGCTCTATGACCTCGTTAATCTAGAATTTGGTGAATTTTTTCAGTTATGCAGAAAAGATGGAGAGTTGTGAAACCTGATGTTTGAGGCATCTGCACTTTCTAAGTGTTGCATCAAAAGGTAATTCCATTTGCAACCCCCACTCCTCTAGAGATCAGAGGTCGATCAGTCAGTTGATGGGGGAAGACTTTCTGTAACCACATGGTGCTTTTTACAGTGACCATTGTTAACAGTACGGTTGCCTCTCCCCTCTTTTCTGTGGCTCATGGCATTCTTTTCTAAATTGGATGTATCCTCACCCTTGTATTGACGTTAATCTCAGAATCCATTGTATAGCCTTTTAATTTCCTAATTATCCCCCTCCTAATTTTATTGTTCAGATTTTGAGTTTTATATGCCTTCTGTTCTGTCATACGTTTCAACTATTCTTTGATGTCTCGTAAAGAACTTTATAGTATTTCGTTACACATCCGTTAATGATGTTCATAATCCTTTAACACTGAAAAACTAGTGTGCTAATGTAATATTAATTTAATTTAATACTTAATATAATTTGTAATTGTGTATTAAATATATAAATATATTTAACATAATATTAATTTAATTAATATTAATTTAATATCTTCTTTCCTTAAGTCAATTTGTAAATTACCAAGCACTTAGCTGAGGTCCTCAGTGAAGTAGATGGCCCTTCAAGTCCCCTTTGTCTTTTCTGTACAGATGTTGTAGGATGGTCCGGATAGATGTGGAACTTTGTTCCGGTAGAGTCCATCCATTCACAATACAGAGATTGCTCAGAGCTCGTCCCTACAGGTGACCCTTTTTCATGTTTTCCAGGGCTAGAAACTATTTGTAATTTCATACAGTTTTTCTGGAAAGGAAGAATTAATTGCTGGGGTTTGATTAAACTGATGAGAGAGAAGCTTCTCTCATTCAGGAATATGAAAGTTAATCTGGAATTAGAACAAGCCCTTTCTACTTAAATCTGTCCAGGCCACCTTTTCAGAATTTTCTTACACCCATTTCTACTCAGTCAACTCAGACTTCTTCAGGGTAACTTGGTAAAGTAACTCCTCCTCTAACAAAGCACCCACCTGTAACATGAAATGATAAACCAAGAATTCTGAACCTGAGCTAATAAGATCCTTCAAATGATTTTAAAATTAGATGTGTGTTTGTCATTGATGGTTTTCAAGGAGAGAGTGTGCAGTTATAATTGGAGTTCACAATGTGACCTACTTCCACAAATATTGAAAATTGTTAAGATAGAGGCAGGAGCATAGTCTCAGAGACATAAGCACGCCTCCGTCACCGCCACCCTGTCTGGGTGTCATAGCTAAATCTTAAAAATTTGATTGTGTCATCTTTTGACATTAAACCCTCTTACAGGGAGCTCTGGAGCTGGGGTGGCCCTTAAGAGTTGGTCCATACTGATGACATGAACAGGCTTCTGTGTCCTGCATCAATCATTCCTTGGATGCTGGCTTCCTAGGGAGGAGCTAAGAACTTGAGTGAGGCCATTACCTTTGGTTGAGTGCCAGGTAGACAAGACGATGCAGTTGTGTAAGTTTGAGCAGTAGGGGAGGGCTTTGTGAAGAATTGGGTAAAAAACGCACTTGTTGGCCTCCATATTAGGACTTTCTTGTCCCCGCATCCCTCCTGTTACAGTGGGCAGCAAAGGACTTTTTCCCAAAGCAAGTTTCTCTCCATATGTATATTGTGACAGATGGTGGGGTTATGTTGATTCTAAACATTAAGAAACATACTTTTTGTCATACAATATAACCTTACCTGAGAAAGAAGACCAGAAAAAGAGGGAAAAAAGGAAGAATGGCTCTTTTCCAGGTAAAGTCCTATTTTCGTTAATTGTTCTTCTTCCTAAAATGTCACACTTAGGACTTGTTAATCTTCTCTGTCTCAGAGGTGTCCTACATATAGTGTTTAATCACACCCAGGGCTTTGTCCCAGTCTCCTCTTATCTCTGCTCATTTCATCTCACTGTGGCCCAGGGACATGGAACTTGGGGAACGGCTACTTTTAGGTGGTCATGCTGTGAAGGATTTTCTGTGCAGGCAAGGACTGGAGATGGGGAGTAGACTGTGTGGTGTCTTCAGTAAGGATTCATCAGAGACCCCTTCTGGATCCCTTTTTACCTTATATAAATCAGGATTACAGAGATTATATATGTAAGTAATGTATTAATGTGCACAAGTACCTGAGAAACCCTGGAAAATCAGACTGACAGGAATTTGCTTCATCCGATTTTATAAATGTGTTTTGACGTTAAAACAAGGGAGTCATTGTGCTTCTGACTCCATCATATTAATACTTTGGAATAGAATGGAACGTTGAAAGTAGGCATGTGAAATAGGGAGGGTGTTTTGTTTTATTAACCTAATTAGTTTCAAATGTAGAATCAATCTATTTGTCTAACATTATCACAGACTATGGTTCTGGAGTTCTCCCTTGTCCAGCAAGAGAGAAGATGCAGGATGCAATACACGAGCGGTTAATTTCCTCTAGGGACAAAAGCTCCGAACAGGAGTTTCAGGTCCGTATTTATTGAGCGCACAAGATACTACACAGCTGGTAAATGTGAAGAAAACAAGGTCTTATACACATGAACGTGGAGAAAACCATCATTAACTTGTGAGTGTAGGAAGCAAAGGGTCTTGGGAGCAGGTGGAGTTTGTGATTGGAGTACGTTAATAAATTGGCATCAGATGGAAAATAATTTCCTGCAGGTGATATAACAAGTTACTTGTGATCTTATCACAGTATCTCGAGAGGCATCTTCAGGGGTATTTGCCCCATGGTGGCAGATTTTCGCCCTAAGCTCTTGTTTACCTAATGACTTAGCCTTGGGTGCTTTTCCCTGTGGTGGCAGCTTGCTGCCCTAAGCTTTTTAACCTGTTTATATAAGTGTCAGGGATTCTTGAACTATTTCCCCCTAGTTTCCCCTTTAGGTTTTTTCATCTCAAATTTGTGTGTGAGGACTGTAATGATGAGTACCTAATCCTCTTTCGGTGTTTAGAGGGTGCTTATGCAGTGACATCAAAAGAGACATCTGCTTCACAGAGTTATAAAGGAGGATTAGCACCTTTGTTTTTTTCCTATAAATTGGACAGCAGCCATAAGGGCTTCGAGGGGTGCCATTATTTGCCTATAGAAGTTTGGCTTCTTAGCTCTTTGGTAGTATTGAGCATAACTTGGTTCAGTACGTGTGCAGTTTGATAGTGTGCTGAAGACTAATTCCAGCAGCGGTAGCAGAGGCTATAACTGTGGCTAGGATCCCCATGATTAAGATGTCTATGAAGCACTTTTGCCTGTAATGAATACCAGTGATGGAGATCATTACTGTCTGATGCAGATCAGGGGTATATGCAATACCATTGTGTTGTAAGAGGACGCTGGCCTGGTTAGACAGGCGTTTAAGGTTTCCCCATGTTATATGAGGGACTAGGAATTGTATTTGTAGAGTGACTTCAGGATGAGGAGTCAATGAAGAGACTTCTTCCATCTTGAAAAATTGGAGTGGTGGTTGGCCATTCTGAGTCATTCTCGGGAAGTCCTGTTGATTGGAAGATTCCAGGGGTCTCCCCCATGCCATGATATGGGTTCCCCAACAGAGAGGGAATCCACAGACGTCCAGAATCTGAAAGGACACAAGCATATCCTCAGCTCCTAGTGAGAAGTTTGAACCAGCACCATATGATGAGAGAGTTAACATAATTTACAAGAACATAGCTTAGCTGTGGTTTGTCCTTGAGGGTCAAGATTTGGAACCTTAAGAGCAATCATAGTGCGATTGAGGAGACGTTGAGGTTGTAGACAGCCATGGGTAATTCCTACTCTTTGTTTTCTTGACATATTTTTAAGCTTATTATGTGCTTGCTCATTCTACAGTTGCTTGGCCTTGTGGATTGTAAGCAATTTTAATTTTTTTATGCCATTTCTTTCTTCCTTTGTTTCCCACATCATTCCCCCCTGAAGAGTTTGACCCTTAAAATCTTCAGGGTTGCTGAGGGTGGATGTTCTTTTCTTCTGTAACTTCTTCCTGCTGAATAGGGATGTAGAGAGTCCCTAGCTATGGGTCAGCATTGGTACGTTGGGGTAGGTATAGCAGAGTTACGGGAAAGGGAAAGACTGTTCAGGGGAAACAGCATCCTTGAGTAGAATGGATCATCTGTCTACTGGAAATTATAGTGATGAAGAAGTCTTCCAACAACAAGAGTCAGAAAGCTAGGACAAAAAAGACTCAAAAATGGACATGGTTAACAGGTCTAATGCAGTTGACAAGGAAATTCAGTTATTTCTGTGGCACATAACGCTCAAGTATCTGATTGTCAAGTGATGACCTTATACCAAAAAATATTAAAACTAGGAATTGCATATAATATCTTGAATAGTTATAGCATTTCCCCAGATGGAACCTAAGGTTTATTATTTTGTTGACAGTGCTTCCAGAGTAACTTAACATAGTAAAGAAGCCTAATTGGTAAAAAGACTTCATTTACAATTTAAATCTTGGGAAATTTGTTAGAAAAAAGCCTCAGAAAGGATGTTATGCTGAGCAAAATAAGTCAGGCAGAGAAAGACAGATACCATATGTTTTCACTTATAAGTGGAACAGGAGAAACTTACAGAGGACCATGGGGGAGGTGTAGAGGAAAAAATAGTTGGGGAGAGGGAGGGAGGGAAACCATGAGAGACTCTTGAATACTGAGAACAAACTGGGGGCTGATGGGGGAAGACGGAAAGGGGGGGATGGGCATAGAGGAGGGCACTTGTTGGGATGAGCACTGGGTGTTATATGGAAACCAACTTGACAATAAACTATGAAAGGGAAAAAATGGGGAAAAAATAGAAAAGAAAAAACCTCAGAAAGTTATAAAGCACCAACTGTGTTTACCATCAGACCCAAATATCCTTACTTTCTCTGCAAAAAGAAGATGAAAGCAGGTTAGGCTTGTTTAGTAATTAATGCTTTAGTATCCCATCCTATTTAGAAAAGGCCTAGCTGTCTGACAAATTCAGTCCTAATTTATCATGCCAGGAAAACTTTTCGGGTTACTAAAGCCTTTGAAAGCTACCTTAACAATTACTCATGAAAAGTATAACACAAAGTTAACAATTACTTAAAGTCATAACATGAGCTTATTTGACCTTTGGTAAACAGGTCTATTTCAAGCCAACAGACGTACTTTTGGGTCCACCTAAACCACTTTGTCACCCGTGGTTAATTTTTACCTGGAACACTGGTGATGAAATCTGAACTGGGAGCTCTTTGCTCCTTGATATTTTGGAGACCATCTTTAAGGATTGAGAAAAGTGTCTATAGCTGATAATATGGCTTACAGTTCTGAATATTGGGTAGACCTGGTCCAGTGCATAATATATGTTCCCAAGTGTTTTCCAGTTTTCCAAAGGCAAAAAGCCTTGTGAGGTTTCCTGGTATCAGTAAACACCGTAAGGGCATTCTTAATAGGATGTTGCATTGGGGTAAGGATGTCCTCAGAGGGAATCTTATGTTCCTTTAATTAAAAGGTCAGATTTTTCCCAGAGGCAGGGGTAGTTGTCGTTCTCTGGATTTGGGGTGCTGAAGGGGCTGGCTGACAATAGGGAGGTTTAGGTTCCATGGACAAAGTTTTTATTTACTTTGAGTGGGTTTATATTTTCATAAACATCATCCGCACTCAGGGGGAGAATAGCCATAGGGACCATAGACCATGTAAGAATAACCTCAGGCAGATCATTGACACCTTCCTTATGCCATGCCTTAGTGTTTTTCCTATTCATTCCCAAAAGTCTAGGTCTAGGGTTCCTTGCTCAGGGGACCAAGAGCAGTGTTGCTGGATAATCCTAATAATTTAAGGAGTGCTATAAGAATGTGTTCTTTCTGGGGTGCCTGGGTGGCTTAGTCGGTTAAGCGTCCGACTTTCGCTTAGGTCATGATCTCGCGGTTCGTGGGTTCGAGCCCCGCGTCGGGCTCTGTGCTGACTGCCAGCTCAGAGCCTGGAGCCTATTTCAGAGTCTGTATCTCCCTCTCTCTCTGACCCTCCCCTGCTCATGCTGTCTCTCTCTCTCTCTTAGAAATAAATTAAAAAAAAAAAAAAAAAAGAATGTGTTCTTTCTGTTCTAGGGATAGGGAGTTTCCTATAATAATGCTCTCAAAAGTTCCGTGACAGCAAATCCTAGTATAATTTCTCTTTTCTCTTACTTGTCAGGAGAGATTGTACTTTTTATGTTTTTAGAGCTATAGTCGTTCTGTGGCTTTTTGCAGTCCTTGAGTTACATTGGCTTCTTAGCCTCGTCTCCTGCTGTCACGTGGACTTCTTAGTCACGCTGGCTCTTCTAATCACATTGACTTCACAACGCCTTCTATCACATCGAATTCTGTCACCTCGGCTTTTATCACGTTGACTTCTGTCCCATCGGGGTTATCGTCTGGTGAAGACTGTGAGCCTGGAGTTCTCTCTTTCCAGCAAGAGAGCAGATGCAGAATGGATTACAAGAGAGGCTAATATCCAGGAGGAGACAAGAGCCCTGATCAGGGGTTTCGGCTCCATATTTATTTAGCTCAAAAGATACTACACACTTCGTAAACATAATCAAACTCATACACACATGAATGTGGAGAAGATCATCAGAGAGTAATCATTAACCTGTGTGTGTAAGAAGCAAAGGACAAGTGGAGTTTATGATCAGAGTACATTAGTAGATTGGTGTCAGATGGAAAGTAATTTCCTGCAGGTGGTACAGGTTTCTCCTGATCCCATTACAGTATCTCGCTAGCTAACCTCGGGTGATTTTGCCCCATGATGGCGTCTTTTCTGACCTATGCTTTCTTAACCCATTTATGTAAATATAAGGGATTCTTGAACCTATTTCCCCACATAACAGTAAGTGTTCTCTATATAATTGATAGCACATCCATTCCATAAAGACCATGGTGTTCATTTAGAGACTCTTAATGCTGCCCAGATTTTAGAGAGAAATGTTTATAATTTAGCCAAACATAAGAGCAAAACTTTCTGTCATCAGAGAGACTGGTGATCAATTTTAATTTTACAAATAATTATTAGATTTTATTATTTTTGTGTGTGTGTGTTTTTGAAGTCCTCTAGTATATGTTGTTGTAGTTCAGTTCCATACAGTAATGCAATTCAGAAACTAAGAAGTAAAATATCCTCTTCCCTGTAATATCTTCCACCATCACTGATTTTCTTCATCAGGAACCGATGTTCTCTTTAGTGCAAATTTTCTAAATGTGCATTTAGATAATGTAATATGATTTTAGAATATATTCTTCAGTAAATGTTTCATCATATTTTACTCTGCCAATTGAAATATTTACATACCACATGACTTGAAGTTGTTTTCATGTTAGTAAATAGGAGATAACTGCTTTCTTAGATCCTCATTGGAGCATTCTCTAAATGAAGACACATGGTGGGGCGCCTGGGTGGCTTAGTCGGTTAAGCGTCCGACTTTCGCTTGGGTCATGATCTCACGGTTCATGGGTTCAAGTCCCGCGTCGGGCTCTGTGCTGACTGCCAGTTCAGAGCCTGGAGCCTGTTTCAGTCTGTGACTCCCTCTATCTCTGACCCTCCCCTGCTCATGCTGTCTCTCTCTCTCTCTCCTAAAAATAAATAAAACATTTAAAAAATAAATAAATAAATGAAGACACATGGGTCCTTTACAAATTCTTACTGTTTTCAAAGAATGCCATGGTGGCTGTTTCTGACCAGGTCAATTTCAATACAGATATCTAAGGATATTTTAAGATTGTACATCTTTTAAGCATGACTACCAGGCTATTGATCTTTCTGAGGAAGCACAGACATTCCACTTAGTAAATAAAGATTTTAAATCAAGTGTCTTGAACATCCTCAGCTAAAGGAAAATATGGAAGAAAACTAAGATGTAGGAGAACAGTGTTTTAACAAATAGAAAATATCAATAAAGAGGTAAATTATAGCAAAGGGATATAATAGAAATGCTGAAGTTGAAAAGTTGAAAATTCACTAGAGATTCATCAGCAGATGGACAAAAAGAATAAAGCATCAGTGAACCATAAGCATAGAGTAACTGACATTGTCAAGTGTGCGGAGGAGAGAGGGGAATCAGCTGAATAAAAGGGAAAACAAAAAAAAAATGGCCAGAGACAACGAAACCTTTGGGACACTATAAAGAATACTCATATAAACCTAATAGGAGTTCTAGAGGGAAAGGCAGAAAGAACATTTGAAGAAAGAAGAACTGAAAACCTCCCAAATTTATCAAACAGAACATACACATCCAAAAAACTCAGTGAAGTTCAACTAGGTCAAATGCATGCAGATATCGGGCAGTTATACACTCAGTCAGCTTTTGTAGAACAAAAAGGGAATGTGGAACGTAGCAAGACAGAAACAATTTCTTGTGTACAGGGCTTCTCAGTAAGTTTAATGGCCTGTTTCTCATCAGAAACTGGAGGCCAGGAAGCAGTCTCCTGAGGTATTAAAGTTTGAAAGATTAAAAAAAAAAAAAACTTATTGGGAATTCTTTACAAGGCAAACTATACTTCACAATTGATCGTGAAATTTAGAGACTCCTAGATGAACAAAAACTTACAGACTTAGCCTACATGAAATGCCACTTGGTGTTCTTGAGGCTGAAGTGGATGGAAACAGTAGTACTTCAAAGCCATAGGAACAAATAAAGAACGCTAGTTATGGTAGCTACATTAGTAAATGTAAAAGCTAATTATTATGTTTTTGTTTTCTAACTCATTTTTTCCCGTGTGTCCTAAAAGACAAGTGTAAAACAATAAGAAAAATCTGCTCTTGAGTGTATGAAACAGCTGTTCATATCTTTAATGAAGTAGTTTTTGACATCAACATAAAGGGAGACTGTATAACAGCACTTGTTTGTATACCATTAAAGCTAAGTTAACATCACCTGAAATTCAGATATTAATGGTTTAATATGTAAAGTGTAATCCCCAAGATAACCACTCACAAAATAACTTGAAAGTATACAGAAAAATAAATTGAAAGACAAGCAAAAAGGTATGTACACACAGACACCCAAAGAAGGGAGGAATTATGTAACAAAATATTAGACCTACAAGCAGCAAATGTTAGAAGTAATTCTTACCATTAGCAACTTGAAATGCAAATAAATTAAAACCTTCAGTAAAAGACAAAGGGATTTTTAAAAATGCTTCCACTCTATGTCTGCCTACGGCTCACTTTATGTTTTCAAAGTATTTATTGCTTGTGAGAGGACATGAGAGGGAGGGGCAGAGAGAGAGAGAGGGAGAGAGAGGATCTCAAGCAGGCTCCACACTGCCATTGCAGAGACCAATGTTGGGTTCGAACACACAAACTGTGAGATCATGACCTGAGCTGAAATCGAGAGCCAGACACTTAAGCAACTGAGCCACTCAGGCGCTCCAAGGCTTACTTTAGATACACAAGTAGGTTGAAAATGGAAGGATGGAAAAAGATATTCCATGCATGAAGTAATGAAACCTAGCTGAGTAGCTGTACAGATATTGGACTGTAAGGTGTAAAATTGTTACCAAAGATGTTGAAGGCCATTATATATTGAAAAAAGGGCCAGTCCATTAAGAAGATAAAACAACTATGAATAATAGGCACATAACTACAAAGCCCCTAAGTTTTTGAAGTAAACATTGAGATTGTTCTGCTCTATTAGTTGGAGACCTCCATGCTACCTTTTTAACAATGGATAGAACAACTAGACATCCATAATAAAGCAGTGAGGAACCTGGTAAACTAGCTAGACTCAGCAAACATATACAGAAACTGCATCCAACAAAAACTCAAAAGGTGGAGTAGAAGGGAACCGGTTCAGTCTAAAAAAGTGTATTAAGATTCCATGGCTAAACTTGGGGCGCCTGGGTGGCTTAGTCGGTTAAGCGTCCGACTTTCGCTTAGGACATGATCTCGTGGTTTGTGGGTTCGAGCCCCGCGTCAGGCTCTGTGCTGACTGCCAGCTCAGAGCCTGGAGCCTGTTTCAGAGTCTGTGACTCCCTCTCTCTCTGACCCTTCCCTGCTCACGCTGTCTCTCTCTCTCCTAGAAATAAATAAAACATTAAAAAAAAAAAATTCCATGGCTAAACTTCTACTCAATGGTGAGCAACTGAAAACTTTCCCCTAATACCAAGAACAGAACAAATGTGCCCCAATTTGCCCCCACCTAGAAGTCAACACTCTACTGGAAGTTCTACCCAGAGAATACAGAAGAAAAATAAATAAAATGCGTCAAAATGGGAAAAGAAATCAAGCTATCTCTATTCATAGGATACATGATTTCCTATTAGAAATAAAGATCCTCAGACTTAGAATGAGTGAATACATTGAAGTTACAGAATACAGTGTCAACACTCAAAATTTAGTTGCATTTCTGTATAGTAGCAATCAACAAATGGAAAGTAAGTAAACAATTTGATTTAGAAGAGCAAGAAAACAAATGGGAATAAATTTAATCGAGGAAATGGAAGATTTATACACAATGAAAACTACAAAAGTTGCTTCAGAAAATTAAACAAAACCTAAATAAATGTCAAGATTTTCTTGTTTTTCGCGGCACCTGGGTGGCTCAGTTGGTTAAGCATCAGACTTCGGCTCAGGTCAGGGTCTCAGGGTTCCTGGGTTTGAGCCCCATGTCAGGCTCTGTTCTGACAGTTAGCTCAGAGCCTGGGCCCTGTTTCAGATTCTGTGCCTCCCTCTCTCTCTTACCCTCCCCTGCTCATGCTATCTCTCTCTCTCTCTCTCTCTCAGAAATAAAACATTAAAAAAATTTTTTTCCTTGTGTTTCTAGCTTGGAAGACCATAAAGCGGGAGGGCTCTCCAGAGCAATATAAAGAGTAATGCGGTCCTCAGCAAAATAACAACAGCATTTTTTACCCAAATGGGAATCCTGATTTTAAAACTCCTATTGAAATGGCAAGGATGCCATATAGGCAAATAAATGTGAGAAAATGAAATTGGAGGACCTACGATTCCCGACATCAAACCTTTGACAATAACTTGGAGTAATCAAAAGTATAATTGCAACAGAGGCTGGAAATACTGATCAAACCAATAGAACTGAGCGTCCGTAAATAAACCCATACATCTATAATCCATTCCTTTTGTATCTGTGTGCTGAAAACAGACAGTGGAAAAAGAATAGTCTCTTAAATGATACTGGCATAACTGGATATCCATGTGAGAATGAAATTGAAACTACCTTTTACCATATAAGGAGATCAATTGAGAATTAATCAGATTAAATTTAAGAGCTAAAGCTATAAAAGTCTTCAGTGAAAACATAGGAGTACATCTTTATGACCTTAAGGTTGGCAGTGGATTTTTACACATTATCCCAAAAGCAAAAGAGAAAACAACAAAGTGGAGAAATTGGTCATCATCTCAATTGTTCATGTCTGTACACTGAAGGACATTATGACACAAGTGAAACAATCTACCAAATGGGAGGAAATAATTTGCCAATCACATATGTCCTAAGGGTCTAGAACCTATAATAAAGGAAGAACTTACACAATTCACAGCCAAAATGCAAAGAACCCAACTTGAAAATTGGACAAAGGATTTTAATAGACATTTCTCCATAGAAGATACACAATTGAAACCAGCACATGAACAAACAGTTGGTAACTAAAGTAGTCATTAATAAAATGCAAAACCAAAACCACAATGAGATAATATTTCACATCCAAAAGGATGACTATTGTAAAACAACAACAAGAATAAAGATGTGGAGAAAGTCGAAGCATGACACATTGCTGTACAAATGTAGCTGCTGTGGAAGAATGTGGCAGATTCTGAAAAAATTAAACCATGTGACCCAGTAATTCTACTTCTAGGTAGAACCAAAAGAATTGAATACAGGCATCCAAACACTTATACTGGAAAGTTCATAGCAATTTACTAATATCAGCCAAAGTTGATAACAACCAAATGCCCATCAGTAGTTGAGTGAATATTGTCTAGCCCTGCAATGGAATACTCTGCAGTCAGAAGAAAGGAAATATGCCCCTGATACATAATGTATCATGGATGAACCCCAAACATGAATCTATGAAAGAAGGCAGATGCAAAAGGTCACATTTTGGATATCTTTCCTTTAAGGTGAAAACATCCAAGATGGGTAAATCCACAGAGAAAAGGCATTAGTAGTTTAGTGGTTGCCAGGGACGGGGCAAAAGAAGCCCCTGTTCATGGGTAAAATCTTTCCTTAGTGGCTGAAAGAATGTTTTCGATCTAGACTGAGGTGGTGTTTGTACTATGTTGTGAATGCACTAAGTGCCCCCTAATGGTAATTTAAAATAGCTAATTTTATGTTAACTATAACTCGCTCAGAATTACCTTACATGGATTAAAGAAAATTGACTCCAGCCGAGTCAGTCTTTACACATCTGTGCTTCTGTTGTTTTGTGTCACTTTAAGAACATGTTCCCTGTCCACTTGGTCAAATGTGTTTTCCTTTCAGGGACAGTTGACATTCAGGGATGTGACCATAGAATTCTCTCAGGAGGAGTGGGAGTGCCTGGACACTGCTCAGAAGGCGTTGTACAGGGACGTGATGTTAGAGAACTACAGGAACCTGGTCTCCCTGGGTGAGGATAAATTCCCTCCAGAAGTTGGTAATTACTTTTTATGTCTTTGCATTTTCTTTTGAGAGCCCTTGTTTTGATCATAAAAGTTTCAGTTTCCTGTTCCTACTGATAGCTCTTAATTCTCCTTCCATACAGGTCAGAGCTGAGGCCTCTGTAGTGCAGACCCCAGGACCTATTCACTTTCCATTTCCATTTTGTATCCTTGGGAGAACGTCTCCTGAGACAAACAAAATGTAGTATCTGTCTAATAAAGTAAAGTCTATCTCTTTCCTTGGCCATCCTGGCTTCTTAGGGTCGTTCCCTTGTGCATTAATTGAGAGGAAGTAATGATGTGGATAATTCCAAAAAGTGAAAACCCCAGAGTGGATATAGTGTAAATACAGCACAACTTACTGATATCTCTAGTTAGCTTTTCTGTAGGAAAAACATGGATCATTCCACAGATGTTTATTGCATTCCTGGTATACCACAGGCACCATATTGATATTTTGGGGGGAGTTTTTGTTTGAAGAACTCAAGAGGCAGCAACAATTTTTGATTTTAAGGAATCTTTACATTCAGAGTGGGGTTTGAACTCACAACCGCAAAGTCAAGGGTTGCATGCTCTACCGACTGAGTCAGGCAGGCATCCCTCATTAATCTTTTTAAACTTTTGATCACCTTCATCCATTTGTGCCACCATGCCTCAACTACCTGCCTGTAGCAACAACCAACAACCAACATAATCTCTATAGCAACCACCAATATGGCCTTTGTATCTAACGGCTTCTTGTTTCTTTCAGATTCCACACATAAGAGAAATCATACTGTAATGGTCTTTGTCTCATTCCACTTAGCATAATGTCCTCAAGGTCCATCTCTGTTGTCACAAATGGCGAGATTCTATTTGGTTTTATGGCTGGATAATATTGTGTTGTATATACACATCTTTATCCATTCACCCATCAGTGGACACTTAGATTGTGTCCATATCTCCTCTCTTATAAATAGTGCTGCAGTGAACATCAGAGCACTTCTATCTTTTCAAGTTAGTAGTTTTGTTTTCTTCAGATAAATACTCAGTAGAATTGGTGGATCACACAGTAGTTCTCTTGGCTACACAAATAATTCTCCACACCATCAACAATGCTTGTTTTTTCCTATCTTTAACTAACTGCCATTGTAATATTAGGTGTGAAGTGATATTGTGGTTTCGATTTGCATTTCCTTGATGATGAATGATATTGAGCATATTTTCATGGTCCTGTTGGCCATCTCTATGCCTTTGGAAAATTTGCTAATGTTTTCTCCCATTCAGTAGGATACCTTGGATACCTTTTCATTTTACTGAAAAAGTGTTTCCTTTAGTGTGTAGACATGTTTTAGTTTGATACAACCCCACTTATCTTGCTTTTGTTGTTTCTTCTTTTGGTGTTGAGACTCCCCCCCACCTCCAAATAAATAAAAATCATTGACCAGACATGTTTCAAGGAGCTCATTACCCTCTATCTTAATTTAACAGGATTTTTATGGTTTCAGGTCCTAGGTGTAAGTCCTTAATCCATTCTGAGTTAATTTTTGTGTATGCTATTTGTCTGATAGTGGTCCAGTTTCATTCTGTGGTCCAGTGGTCCAGTCTGCTGTCCTGTCTTCCCAGTAGAATCTATTGAAGAGTTTGTGCTTTCACCATTGAATTGCCATGTCCCCTTTGTTGTAAATTAATTGACCATGCGTGTGGGTTTATTTCTGGGCTCTATTGTGTTCTGTTGGTCTATGTGTTTATTTTTATGCTAATACCATACTGTTTTAATTATCACAGCTTTGTAGTCAGGGAATTTGAAATCAGGGAATGTGATCCCTCTAGCTTTGTTCTTCTTTCTACAGATGCTTTGGCCATTCGGGATCTTTTGTTCCATAGAAATTTTAATACTTTTCTGTTTTGTGGATGGGTTTTATGTGGACTGAAATTTTCAACTTATTTGTGTGAATACTAAGGAATATGATTGCTACGTCATATTAAAGAGTTTAATTTTGTACGAACGTGCGAACTCTTCCAAAGAGGAGTAGCATTTTGCATTCCTACCAGCAGTGCATGAGAATTCTTACTGCTCCACATTCTCACTAGTATTTGGTGTTATTGTTCTGGATTTTGGCCATTGTCATGCTTGCGGTGATATCTCTTTGTTATAACACATATTTTCCTTGGTTACAGTTATGTCTTTTCTTTAATATTTATTTGTATTGAGAGAGAGAGAGAGCTTGAGCTGGGTAGGGGCAGAGAGAGTGAGAAACAGACCCAAAGCAGGCTCTAGGCTCCAGAGCTGTCAGCAGAGAGCGTATCGTATGGTTTGAACTCATAACCCTGCAATCATGACCTGAGTCAAAGTCGGACACTTAACTGACAGAGCCCCCCATCTGATCCTATGGCATTCTTTAAACTAAGAATTTGTGATATCTTGAGAACATTTTTTTTAAGTTCCTGCTTTAGTCCTAGAAATATCATTAACTTCATTTACCATAACCCTTTCTTTTTTTTTTTTTTTAATATTTTTATTTATTTCTAGGAGAGAGAGACAGCGTGAGCAGGGGAGGATCAGAGAGAGAGGGAGACACAGACTCTGAAATAGGCTCCAGGCTCTGAGCTGGCAGTCAGCACAGAGCCCGAAGCGGGGGTCGAACCCACGAACCGCGAGATCATGACCTAAGAGAAAGTCGGACGCTTAACCGACTAAGCCACCCAGGCGCCCCTTACCATAACCCTTTCTATAATGATACATTATTTTGGGGCCCTGGGGTGGCTCAGTCAGTTGAATATCTCACGATTTTGGCTTGGGTCATGAAGTCACGGTTCATGAGTTCAAGCCTCACACTGGGCAATGCACTTATAGTGTGGAGACCTTAGGGGATTCTCTCTCTCACACTCTCTCCTTGCCCATTCCCCATTCACAAGCTTACTCTCACTCTCTCTTAGTAAACAACCTTAGAAATCATTCTAGTATGTGTCTCCTGGAACATGTATACATTATGCAATTCTATTGAGTATATACCTAGAAGTAGAATTCGTGGGATATTTAGTTTGACATTTCAATACTGAAATAGATATAACTGGACAGTCTTCCTATAACCCCCAGCTGTCTACCTGTTGAATGTTTTCCACTTTTTACTTCATGCCCATGGTATCATTTTTAGAGTATGCATCAATATTACGCCTTTTGCTAAACCTGTTTCTTTTTCTGCAAGGTCATGCTTTTAACGTCTGCCACAATCATATTCCCCTAGATGTGCAAGCACAAGCACTATTGTCACATTGTCCGTTACTCCTTATGCTTCACTCCTGCTTTCCCGAATCCAAATCTTGGCCTTCAGATTTTTCACTGGGCTAAACAAACCATCCTGGTATCTCCTGATATATTAATTTTGAGCACTTAAGCACCTACGTTTATGCAGGACATGACTCTCCCTGCCCCCTGCACTGCAGAAGGACCCCTATTCATACACAAGGGACATGTGTATGAATTGGTCAGGACAGCAGCTTGATCTGGTGTTACATTATATTATGTGGTTAATAATGTATGAAGATAGGATGAAAGAATCAAGGTATTTTAAGGAATCTCTAGGTTACAACCTACATATTGATAGATCTAGTAGGTTAAGTTAATAAGTAACCACAGTTACACAAATGAGTAGTTTCTAGAATTCTGAAGCATTTTTCCTTGGAGAACTAAAGACTGGATTTACACTCCATAAAGAACACAGACTAGAGGGAATGAAAGATCCATTGAGTATCACTGAATTATGAAATATTGAGTTCAGGTAAACACATTTGTATAATAATTAGGAATTAAGGAATATAGACATCTCTAGGATGTCATGCACAGTTTTAAAATAGCCCGTGTATATAGATGGGCTCCGTAATCATGAAGTATCATTTAAATATCCAGTTATATGTCCAAAAAATATGGATAGCTAGTGTATTATGTATGTTTTGAAAAATTACCTAAAAATCAGAGAAATTGTTAATAATTCCTAATATTAACCTTATAAAAAGAAATTTTAAATACATTGTATTTAACAATAGTGTTTGAAGACCATGGTTGAAAAACTTCCTTTGTTCATTAGAAAGTATTGTTTGGGTGTGTAATTATGAAATTTAGTATAATATATTTACCTTCCAACTCTATTTGATAGGAAGCCTTTCCGCTGGATTTGCACTCAAGGAATTATCACCAGTTGAGGACATTAATAAAGGAGAATTTTACTCCTTAGTGATACTGGAGAGAAATGAAAGCCATGGCATCAGGGATTTTGATCTCAAGGAAGTCTGCGAAAATAGACATGAGTTTGAAAATCAGTGGGGATATGATGAAAGAAGTTTGACCCATCACAAAAATCTCACTGGTAGGAAAGACCAGCAACCTAATCAGTCCTCAGTTACTCTTCCTGAGAAGCAGAGTGTTTCTCTGAGAAAAGATACATACCAGTATTTCATGAATGATGAACCATTTATAAGGAATTTGTTAAAATGGGACAGTAACATAAGCGGTCCTGGAAATGAGTACATAAACTGCTTGGAAAATAGAATCGGGCTAATTTCCCAGGCACACCTGGCTGAACTGCAGAGATTTCATAATGAGGAGAAAATGTATGAATATAATCCAGTTGAGAAGTGTGTCAGCAATGGTTCCTCAGTCTCACCACTTCAAAGAATTCCACCCAGGACCCAAAAAACTTGGAATAAATCTAGGAAGATTTTTAATTTGTTACGTACACAAGCCAGGCGAGCACACACTAGAGGAAAATCTTATAAATGTAATGACTGTGGGAAGGATTTTAGCAAAACCTCAAACGTCATGAGTCATGAAGGTATTCCTTGTGGACAGAGACCTTACAAATGTAATGCATGCAGCAAAGCCTTTGCTGAGTGTTCAAGCCTTACTCCAGATAAGAAAATCCATATTGGAGAGAAACCTTACAACTGTCATGAGTGTAGTAAAGCCTTTGACCAGTCTTCAAACCCCTTTATGCATCAGAGAGCCAATACGGGAGAGAAAGTATATAAATGTATCATAAATGTCAAGACCTGTAGTCATAATTCGAAATTCGCATATCATCAGAGAATGTATACTGGAGAGAAACCTTACAAAAGTAGTAAGTGTTCTAAAGCGTTTACCCAGTTTGGAAACCTTAGTAGTCATAAGAAAATATACGCTGGGGAGAAACCGCACAAATGTAATGTGTGTAACAAGGTTTTTATCCAGAGGTCAAGACTTATGGCACATCAGAGAATTCATACAAGAGATAAACGTTATGAATGTACTGAATGTGATAAGGCTTTTATGAAACGTTCAGAACTCTTGCGTCATGAGAGAACTCATACTGGAGAGAAACCTTACAAGTGTGTTGATTGTGGCAAGGCTTTTTCGAGGAGTTCATACCTTACTCAGCATAAGAGAATCCATACTGGAGAGAAACCTTACAAGTGTAGTGAATGTGGTAGGGCTTTTAACCAAGTGTCCACCCTTTGGCGTCATGAGAAAATTCATACTGGAGACAAACCTTATAAATGTAATGAGTGTGGCAAAACCTTTACCCAAGCTTCAAAACTCACTAGACATCAGGGAGTCCATACAAGACAGAAACCATATAAATGTAAAGAATGTGGTAAGGCTTTTATCCAACTTTCACACTTTAGGCTTCATGAGAAAATTCATATAGGTGACAGACCTTACGTATGTGAAGAATGTGGCAAAGTCTTTACCCAGCCTTTAAAACTCGCTACACATCAGAGAGTCCATACAGGAGTAAAAGCACATAAATGTATCATAAGTGGCAAGGCCTATAGTCAAAATTCAAACCTTGCAAATCATCAGAGAATATATACTGGAGAGAAACTTTACAAAGGTAATGAGTGTGGCAAAGCATTTACTCAGTTTGGAAACCTTAGTAGTCACCAGAAAATACATGCAGGGGAGAAACAGCACAAATATAATATGTGTAGCAAGGACTTTATTGAAAGGTCAAGACTTATGGCACATCAGAGAATTCATACAAGAGATAAACGTTATAAATGTACTGAATGTGATAAGGCTTTCATGAAACGTTCAGAACTCTTGCGTCATGAGAGAACTCATACTGGAGAGAAACCTTACAAATGTATTGATTGTGCCAAGGCTTTTTCGAGGAGTTCATACCTTACTCAGCATAAGAGAATCCATACTGGAGAGAAACCTTACAAGTGTAATGAATGTGGTAGGGCTTTTAACCAAGTGTCTACCCTGTGGCGTCATGAAAAAATTCATACTGGAGACAAACCTTATAAATGTAATGAGTGTGGCAAAGCCTTTACCCAGGCTTCAAAACTCACAAGACATCAGAGAGTCCATACAGGAGAGAAAGTGTATAAACGTACCATAAGTGGCAAGGCCTATAGTCTAAATTCAAACCTTGCAAATCAGACAATGCCTACTGGAGAGAAACCTTACAAATGTAATGAGTGTGGCAAAGTGTTTACACAATTTGGAAACCTTAGTAGGCATGAGAAAATACACACTGGGGAGAAACCACACAAATGTAATGTGTGTGGCAAGGCTTTTCTCCAAAGTTCCAGTCTAATGGAACATCAGAGAGTTCATACAGGAGAAAGACCTTATAAATGTACTAAATGTGATAAGGCTTTTATGAAACGTTCAGAACTTTTGCGTCATGAGAGAATTCATTCTGGAGAGAAACGTTACAAGTGTATTGATTGTGGCAAGGCCTTTTTGAGGAGTTCACATCTTACTCAGCATAAGAGAATCCATACTGGAGAGAAACCTTACAAGTGTAATGAATGTGGTCGGGTTTTTAACCAATTTTCACACCTTTGGTGTCATGAGAAAATTCATACTGGTGACAAACCTTACAAATGTAATAAGTGTGGCAAAGAGTTTACCCGATTGGGAAAACTTACTAACCATCAGAAAATACACACTGGCTAGAAACAACACAAACAAGATGTATGTACCATGGCTTTTATCCAGACGTCAAGCCTTTTGGTCAGAGAATCCATATAGGAGAAAACCCTTGTAAATATCCTAAATGTGATAAAGCTTTTAGCACACATTCAGACCTTTGCAGCCATGAGAGCACTCATACTGGAGAGAAACCTTACAAATGTAGTGAGTGTGGCAAAACCTTTGCTGAGTGCTTGAATCTTACTCAACGTAGAAAGATCCATGCTAAAAAGATAAATAAATAAAAAAGATCCATACTAGAGAGAAACCTTATAAGTGTAATGAGTGTGGCAAAGTATTTACCCAATTTGGAAACCTTGCTAGGCATCAGAAAATACACACTGCAGAAACCACACAAGTGTAATGTGTGTAACAAGGTTTTTATCCAACGTTCAAGCTGTATGGCATTTCAGAGAATTCATAAAGGAGATAGACATTATACATGTAATAAGTGTGAACAGGCTTTTATCAAAGGTTCTCACCTTTGAGGTCATGAGAGAACTCATACTAGAGGAAAACCATACACCTGTATTGAGTGTTGAAAAGCCTTTACGGAGTGTTCACATCTTACTAACTCAGTGTTAACCTAATATGTGTGGCAGTGCTTTTGTTTAATTTCAAGCTTTGGGGAACATCAAAGAATTCATAGGAGATAGAAACAAATGAGCAAGTTTTCAGACTTGTTCAACATCAGAGATTCCTTCATGGAGAGGAACCATATGAAACTAACATGTGGGAAAACATGTATCTAGAGTTCACACCTCCCCTGATATCAGAATACAAATCTCTGAAAGAAAGCACACGCCAGGAATGTATGGAAAGGCTCATCCAAAGCTTATTTAATCTTATGGAATGTAAGTGCTACTAGAGAGAAACTGTACAAATGAAAAGAGTGTGATCTGGGTTATTAAAAATGTACAAATTGGAGAGGGGATAAAATAGGTGAATGGAGTGAAGAGGTACAGACTTCTAGTGGTAAGAAAACAAAATGTACAACTTTGTGCTTTGTAGTCTTGAAAGAATTCACATAAACATGGAAACCATACAAATGTGTCAAGGTTTTTACCTCAGCACGAAAGAATTCATACTGGACAGAAACATTACACGTGTAATAAAGGTAGTAATTTGTTTAGCCAATTCTTCACTGGACTACAATTTAAAAACTCACACAAAGTGAACTAGGTTTAATTTGAGGATTACCCTATCTTTGATGTTAAATTCCACAGAAAATTAAAATGATTTAAAACTCATGAGATGATGTGTGTCAATGGAACAAGTGTATCTGTGGAAAGACCTAATCATTTTCTGTTTAAATCTTTTATAAAGATTTTATTTTTCTCTGTACCCCCAATGTGGGGCTCAAACTCACAACCCCAAGAGCAGGAGTCACATGCTCTTTTGGTTGAGCTAGCCAAGTACCCCTATAACATTTTTTACTCAATTATTTGAAGTTTCTTGATGCTCCATTATTATTGATGACTTATAACCTCAAGTTTGGAATCCACTGGTGTTATAATTTCATTATGTGCATTTCATTTGTCAACCATAGTGGTGGTTTCACAGAAAGGATTGGTAAGGTGAAAGGAATCTCTATCATTGAGGGGGCTTAGTCATACTTATATACCCTGGAAAAAGTAGGATGATAAGTTTAAGATAAAGTATACCATACATTTGGGAGCATAGGGAGTGGGAAAGAATAAACTTAAAATTGTTATGTAAATTGTCATGTTTTCTGTAGTCACAGCTCCTTCTCTGGATTTGTTGGTATGATTGAGCGTCTTTGTTTATTACTCCATAAGATAGATGATCTTATGTATATCATGGATGAGTAAAAATTAGTCTTAATTTTGGAAACTGAAGAGAAAATCCTAGAGAGCATTTAAAAGAACCAAAGTAGGGGTGCTTGGGTGGCTCACTCTCTTGGGTGTCCGGCTCAGGTCATGGGATCAATGTCTATGTTGGGCTCTCTGCTGAGTGTAGAGCCTGCTTACTATTCTCTTTCTTTCTCTGTCTCTGTCTCTCTGTCCCTCCTGCCTCCTCATGCTCTAAAAACAAACAAACAAAAAGCTAAACCCAAATTAGTATGCTTGTGAAGGATTCAAATTTGGCCACTTAAATTGCATTTTGACTCCATTTTATTTAGGATACTCAGTTCTCATATCTAAGTAAAATATAAGCTTTTCTGTAACCCTAAATGAATCATGTACCTTTTTAAATCCCAAGTGCATCATGGTTTTTGGGGCACATTTCATAATGAACCCTAATACATCCTTACGCTCTCTAGGTTGAATGTCATGTATTAATTTTCATGTTAGATTCAAACCTACAGTTTTGGAAATATATATTCATAAGTTGCATTTAAGAGTTATCTACCTATAGTATATCCTATAGTATTTTTGTGGCTCTAATGAAAATACATTTGCAATCAATTTCAAACTCAAACCTTCTGCAAATGGCTTCCTCATTCATGAATATACACTATATGATTCTGTATCTACCTGCCTTGTGTGCTGAAATGAGACCCATGGTCTGCAACTTTACATTAAATGAAAATAGAAAAATAGCAAGCATATGAAAAATATTAGGAACTAATGGAAAATGTGCAAAGTAAGGATAAAAGTAACACAATCTATATTGTGCTAGAGTGCTCAGGGAATAATTTGAAAAGATATTTTCATGAGTTTGCTCTTAAGAATGAACATACACATTGGGGCGCCTGGGTGGCTCAGCTGGTTAAGTATCTATCTGGCTTTGGCTCAGGTCATGATCTCACAGTTTCATGAGTTCAAGCCCCATGTCAGGCTCTGAGAGCCTGAGCCTGCTTCAGATTCTGTGTCTCCCTCTTTTGTATGCCACTCATGTTCTGTCTCTATCTCTCAACAATAAACATTAAATTAAAAAAAAAACATACACAATGGGAATCTTATTTGATAATTAGGAATCTCATATTTACCCTCTAAAACATTTTTTGCTTGTTTGCATTTGTGCTTATTCCAAGGGAACAGGATGTTCAGATGTTAAGAATAATGACTGCATGCACTGAAGTGTTAGGAGAATGTTGATTATATGATGATGTTTTTTCAGGAAAGCAGGGTAGACTTCTCAAGTTCTGAAAATGACTTGAGAAAGCAGGAAATGGTGACTACTTTGTTATGATGCATAATGTGCCGGACCAGATTTATAGTACTCATTTACAGTGTGAACTTACAACTGCTGCCAAGGGAAGGGCCTCTTGGGCTTCATTATTAGCTTGCCCTGCCCAGATGGACAGAAGAGTAAGAGGTTATAATGATGCCTCACAGGTATCATTAGTTGGGCATCAAAAGTAGTCAGACTCTTTAATATAATATAAACCTGAATGTTTACTCCTGACTGACTTGCTGGGAAAGACCACAGTCATCCTCATGCTAACTACTACCTTCTTCCTGATGCACACATAGCCCCACCACACAGTATCAGTGTGGAAAATGGTCATGAAATACTATTTATTTCAATTACTGAAGATATTTTTAGACTTGTCACGATTGTTTTTCTATTAAGTTGTAGTCTAATATTAAATACATTCAGAAGTGATAGACTATTTCCCAACTACAAAACTTTTGTAGCTCTTTCACTTCAAAGGAGAATGGAATTAAAGTCATCTTAAAGTCAGTCCTTCCATTCTTCTACCAAGATACTAGAACCAAGGACTGCCTGGGTGGCCCATTCGGTTAAGCATCTAACTCTTGATTTTGGCTCAGGTCATGATCTCATGGATCGTGGGATTGAGCCCTGGGTTAGGCTCCACACTGAGCATGGAAAAATAAACTTTAAGAAACTTATTTATTAAAAAAATTTTTTTAATAAATAAATGAAAAATTAGAAAAAAGAAACTTATTTAAAAAGCTACTAGCAAAGAATCTCTGTATTGAAACTTGGCAAATTAGTGTTGGATTCAGGTAAATAAAATTAACTTAAAATTAATATATTTCAAAGGAAACGTGTAAGTTAGAAAACCCTAAGGATTAATAACTTTTGACTCATTTGGAACACCTATGACAGTGGTCATGGGTTGCATGCAATATTGTACACTCAGGATAAAGACTGATAAACAGATAAAGTCTGTCGATAAAATTTTACTTATCCACGGTTATCCTTGACTACCTTGTCATTAAGTTTTATTAAAGGGTATATGTTCTTAATTTTATTTTTACATCCATTTTTTATTGAGAGAGAGAGAACACAAGTGGAGGAGAGGCAGAGAGAGAAGCAGACACAGAATCCTAAGCAGTCTCCAGGCTGTGAGCTGTCAGCACAGGGCCCAATGTGGGATTAGAACTCAAAAACTTTGAGATCATGACCTGAGCCAAATCAGAGGCTTAACCCACTGAGCCACCCTGGCACCCCAGTTAAGAGGTATATTTAAATTTGGTCTGCAAAATGTATTCTATACCATCTTTTTCCTTTACCTTCTGTTGTTTAAGCATGAATATGAAATTTGAAAAACCCCAGTATCCTTATTTTAATCTATTGTATTTTAGAGAGAAGTGCACGCAAATAGGGGACGGGCAGAGGGAGAGAATTTTTTTAATTTTTTTTTTGTTTATGTTTTATTTATTTCTGAGAGAGAGAGAGAGAGAGACAGCATGAACAGAGGAGGGTCAGAGAGAGGGAGACACAGAACCAGAAATAGACTCCAGGCTCTGAGCTAGCCGTCAGCACAGAGCCCGACGCGGGACTTGAACCCATGAAGCGTGAGATCATGACCTGAGCCAAAGTCGGACGCTTAACTGACTGAGCCACCCAGGCGCCCCAGAGGGAGGGAATCTTAAGCAGACTCCACACTCAGTGCAGAGTGTACCCATGTCTCCATCTCACGACCTTGGGAGGTTGGCCTGAGCCAAAATCAAGATTGATGCTTAATTGCCTGAGCCACCCAACCACCCCACTAATGAATGCCCTTGTCAAAATTGAATTATAATGTATAGCTAATTGGGCTTATTTCCATGAAAATAAGACAAAACCTACTAAAAGGCCTTTGCCCCTCACCATTCATCCTTCTTGGTCATACAGCGGCCATCCTGCTGTAAGGAGACAGTGTTAAGTGCTGAGGGAGGTGCAGCAGGCAGAGGACTGCCCAGGAGACCCACCCCATCCCACCCTGCATCTCTGGGCTTCCTGTGTGTGAGAATGATAAGCCACCTAGTTATTTCAGCCACTGATTTCTGGGAAGTCTGTCACTGAAGGGAAGTGTCCTATTTGACGAATAAGATTAATATCTGTATTGAGAGTAGAATGGAGCATTTGAGAGGGAATCCTGAATTTAACATTTTATAGCTTAGAAAAGCTACAAAAGGCGTCATCCTTCACAGATGGGTTAGAGGTGTTTGGCATGTGCTGCCTACAAGTCACAATATGAACCAAACAAAATACAGCTTGAGAATTTGAGGAATGTTCAGAATGCTAGGGTAGAAAGTTACAGGAGTAAGGAATTTGGTGCCACAATAGAATTACATGTTTACTTGAGCTTTTGAACTATTAGTCTCTGAGATTATGTGCTGCACTAACTATCTACTTTGCACAGATAAAATGCATTCACTCATTCTGTCAGTCGGGAACCATTCTAATCACCGATATTAGCTGGAAACAAAACTCCCTGTCTTCAAGTAACTTATATTCTATAAGGGCAAGTATATAAGATAAAAAATATGATAGTGATAAGTGCCATATACGTGTTCATGTGTAATGATTGACTGACAGGATTTCTTAATTTAAACAATGTTTTCAGGCAATGCCCACATGATGAGGTCATCATTAGAACCACTGAAAGTGTATCATGCAAATACAAATGGGGAAGCGCAAGTAGGTGGAGAAAACAAGCAGAAAATTGCTGGAATGGGAACATATTTACACTGGGTCAGGAATATCCACAGGTGGCATATGGCTTGGTGAATGTGATACTATGTTTCTACTAGAGACATGTAAAATTTGGGACTCCTTGTACTTAGAATTTAAAAATTTTTGATAACAAAACTCCCCAGAGTGCTTAAGATTATTTGTGATAGATCCAAAACCATGACCTGTTTGGAGAATGCACAGACCTATTTCTTTATGGCAACCTTACCACTACTGAGAGAACACAGCAGTGGGGTGGGGTAATGAATTAATGGAAAGATGGTAAATACCATTTGTGAAAACTGTCTAGGGAGTTGGTCCCAGGAGTTGTTAGGATACATACCTTTCCTGTTGTCTACCTCTGTGGCCAGCCAGG